ATGATATTGGTACAATCAATAGATTTTTGTTAAATTTAGGTAGAGAGCATTAGAATGCTGTAAAATAGATTTTAAGTTATCTTCGTGGCACTACTTGTATGAGGCTTTGCTTTGGAGGAGATAAGCCTACTCTAGTGGGTTACTCTAAATCTGATATGACTTAAGACATTAATTCAAGAATATCTGCTTCGGGCTACATGATTAAATTTGCAGGGAGATGTGGCTTGACAGTCTAGATTGTAAGAGTGTGTAGCAATGTTTACTATAAAGGTTGAGTTTATTTCCATTATCGAAGCATGTAAAAAGTTACTTTGGTTGAAGAAATTTTTGCAGCAACTTGGTTTTGTTTAAGACAAATATGTGTTATTTGTTTATAGTCAAAGCGCTATTCATCTTGGTAATAATCTTCCTTTTCATAATAGGTACAAACACATTGATGTGAGATATCATTGGATACGTGATGTTTTTGGATGCTAAGTTGTTGGAGTTAGCTAAAGTTCATACAAATGATAATGGTTTTGATATGATGATTAAAGCATTACTAAGAAGAAAATTTGAAGCTTGTTGTGATATCGTCGGTTTGACGATTTCCTCCACATAGTTGTGAGGGGAGATTTGTTGGGCTTGGGCTCCATTTCAGTGTGGAGAAAGACCAAATATGAATAGTCCATTTGTCTCACTTATTTAAGTGGAGAGTGTCAATTTATGGTAGAGAGAAATAGAGAGAAAATAAGGACTCACAAGAGAGAATAGAGGAGAGAAACTCATTTCCGTTTTTCTGCATCAATCTCACTAAAAGAATGATCCCTGATTCGTTCACGTCAAATCGAGCTGGAATTTGGTGGGCATGATTGCAACACATGTATCTACCTTTTGATCGTTCAGAATTTCAAAACATGTTCTGCATTGAGAGATATCCTCTTCACACTAAAGTTGCAAATTTAGGTAATTTTTCAGCTTTTCAATTTTTATCTGTAAGTTTGTTTGCTTTGTGATTTGTGGTTGTTATCACTATTTTGTGAATCACTTTAAGACTCTCTTGTATCCTCAATTAATTATAGTGGAACAATTTCTTTTGTCTAAACGACTCTTGGTTTATAATCTCATATTGATGGATTTTCCACGTTAAAAATATCGGTGTTCTTTTGTGCCTTTGTTTGTTCAGTTTGCTATCTTATATTTGTTATTGATCTTCAAAGCACTTTAGTTTAGTTGGATTGTAAGTGAAGGTATATGGCCATTCCATAGTTCCAATGTGAAGTAAAATATAATCTAAAGTTCTTAGAGGCTTTAGACATGTTGCTTCTGGATTTTATGTTGAGTGTTTCCAGGGGAAACAAGTTAGAGGCTCAAGGAGAGTGGACTTTGTGATTAGAGTAACTTTATAAGAATGGAAGTGTTAACTTTAGTTCCAAAAATGACATGATGTATTGGATAAAGCTTCTAATCTTTGTGTAATGGCTCAAGATCTCGTGTAATCTTCTGATTATGGATATACTTAGGAATTTTGAGGCCTGCAAAGTGAGATTGTGTAGGATGGTTATGAGATTTGGTCACGAGTTTATCATAAAGATTACCTATAATTCAAGAATGAAATGCTAACTTCATGTCTTCGAAACTTCTAGCTCAAGTATGAGAAATTTGTGTTCTTGTATATTTCGGAAAGCTTGAATCAAGATCTACAACTTTTATGTTGTGAGTTTTTGCTGAATCAATTTGGATCTTAGTGAAAAATGGTCATAAAGTAGTGACTTTCTTAAGAATAAAACACTAAGAAATTTTTCCTAAGTGTTGGGTAAAAAAAATAATCAGAACTTCATGGGCCCATATCTCTTAATCCAAGCACTTTTTGAGGATCATCCAACATTAAAAAAGTTGTGGAATTCATCAATCCCTAAAATTTTCATGTTGAAAATTTTCCTTGAATCAGCTTGTATCTTGAGAAAACTTGCTTGTGAAGTTAGGGTTTTCTAAGTACAAAATACTTGAATTTTTTCTAAGTACTTGAAAAACTTCCAACTTTGACTTTTGTTGACTTTCTTGATTCTCTTGATTCTTGATGACAAGGTTTGATAGTTTTGAATTTTTTGATGATTCTTGATTTTTGAATTCCAATATTGACCAAAAAAGTTAAAGTTTGACTTTTGTGTGACTGTTGACTTTTCATCAGTTGATTCAATTCTTCAACTATCAATCAGTTGTATCTTTGGAAATGTCTTAAGCCATGTAATTAGGTCAAGATGTTGTAATTGATCCCTTGAGATCATTCTTTAAGCCATTAGGTCATGCACTAGGTCAAAAGTCAATGATCAGTCATCTTCAATCAAAACCCTAATTTGACAATTTTTGACCTTTGATGATTTGAGGGCTTTCCTTAAGGAATCATGATCAACCTTTTATCAAATGATGAATATTACCTCAAAATGCTGATGTTGACAAAAAATCTTGAAGTTTGACTGTATGTTGACCATAGTTGATTTTTTACCCAATACAATTGACTTTCAATCTTATGAGCCATTGACTGAGCAAACATGTGATGCAATATTTGAAAATTGACATAAGCATTATTGAAGACCTATGATGAACCATGAAAGTAATTTTAGACCCTTGCAACCCAATCTTCTTTGAGAAGCACCAAACCCTAATTGAAGACCTTTGCTCAGGAGGAGGTTTGACCAGTCAACTCTTGAGTAGCTTTGGGTATTTGAGATCTTTGTGAGCATGTTTTGAAGAAAATGGGAGGGCAAATTTTGGGGTACAACACTTGGTTTTTTTCAAGACAAATATGTGTTATTTGTTGATAGTCAAAGCACTATTCATCTTGGTAATAATCTTCCTTTTCATAATAGGTCCAAACACATTGATGTGAGATATCATTGGATATGTGATGTTTTTGGATGCTAAGTTGTTGGAGTTAGCTAAAGTTCATACAGATGATAATGATTCTTATATGATGACTAAAGTATTACCAAGAGGAAAATTTGAAGCTTGTTGCAATATCGTCGGTTTGGTGATTTCCTCCACATAGTTGTGAGGGGAGATTTGTTGGGCTTGGACTCCAATCCTATGTGGAGAAAGACCAAATATGAATAGTCAATTTGTCTCACTTATTTAAGTGGAGAGTGTCAATTTAGGATAGAGAGAAATAGAGAGAAAATAAGGACTCAAAAGAGAGAATAGAGGAGAGAAACTCATTCCCATTTTTTTGCATCAATCTCACTAAAACAATGATCCCCGATTCGTTCACTGTCAGATCGAGCTGAAATTTGGTGGGCATGTATCTACCTTTTGATCATTCAAAATTTCAAAACATGTTCTGAGTTGAGAGATATCCTCTTCGCACTGAAGTTGCAGATTTAGGTAATTTTTCAGCTTTTCAATTCTTATTTGTAAGCTAGTTTGCTTTGTGATTTGCAGTTGTTATCACTATTTTGTGAATCACTTTAAGACTCTCTTGTATCCTCAATTAATTATAGTGGAACAATTTCTTTTGTCTAAACGACTCGTGGTTTTTACTCTCATATTGAGGTGTTTTCCACGTTAAAAATATCGGTGTTCTTTTGTGCCTTTATTTATTCGGTTTGCTATCTTATATTTGTTATCGATCCTCAAAGTTCCTACAAGTGTGGGAAATTCTATATCCACTGCGTATTATTCTGTTATTTTTTTCTTAATTTTCCATCAAAGTAGTGTCGTGTTAACTTCCTTCGAGAATATTTTGAGAGAGACTTTTGTGGATTGTGGTCGTCAGGTGGAGTGTGGCTTCTATCACCTCCCTCGGGTCATGAGGAAGAGAATTGTGGCCATGGGGACGACGATGGCGTCTTTCTAGCAAGCACTCTATTTGGCTATAATGCAACGTCGACGAGAAATAGCTCTCAGGCAGCTCCGGAGTGGCCGTGTTACAACACCTCTGGCTAATTTGAAAAGAAATATTTTTTATTCTTTTTTATGTGGGGAACTTCTCGTTGAGGAGATTCATGTTTTTTTGTTGTATTAAATTGGAGATGCTCGTTATGAGTCTCTTGGCATTATGCATTCTTAGTGTATGTTTGGTTTCACTTCTATAAGACTAAGAATCAATTCTAGAACTGTGGAATGATTCTGTGTGATTTTGAAGTGTTTGATTTGTTAAAAGTAAAATTGATTTTGTCTTTAGAATTGATTCTACTTGAAGTTAGAATTTGTAGCTTCTACTTTCAAAATTGATTTTGGATGATTTTAATACTGAAATTTATTGTTCAACTCATTTTTACATAAATATATCCAAACATAAATCAATTCTACTAAACACAATTCTATTAAAATCAATTCTACCAAACTTAATTCTATGTCCACCGTCAATCCAAACACACATTTAACATGGCCTAGAGTTGCTAAAGATTGTTGTGATGGATGAAACAAAAACCACTGTTGGTACGACAGAAATTAAAGAGATTTTGGACCGATCAATTAAGAAATTGGAATCTGATGTGGTGTTGTGACTAGTGAGGTGACTAAGATATGAGGCAATACCTATTTTTGTTAAGGAGGTTCTTGTGTTGTGAAAGTGAGGACCGGTGTGGCGGAAGATGTCTCTAGTGATCATAAGTTTTTCAGTCTATTGTCATCTGGTTTGGTCCCATTTCTTGATCACTTTTTACATGAAAGTGCAAAAAAAATATCTTGTCCAACCTTTCATTTTTTTAGCAAATTAAATGCACTCTAATAAATGTTTTCTTCAATATCAATATTATGTAAAAGCTATAACTTACTTACATCGTTAATTTCGTTGTTGTAAAAGATGTATTTGATCCATTATATCTATATACGGTGATAAAAGAGAGAAAATAGTTTTCTACACATTGTACTAGTCTAGTGCATAAGATAATATCCACCTTAAAATTTTAGTTGATTAAAGTCACAACGTTCTTAAATTTTGGTTGTCTGTATAGTAATGTTTTTTTACAAACGATCCACACTTTGGAAGTGTAAAGATTATTCAAGCTTCTACAAGAAGACTAATTATTACTCATCCACACATCTCTAAGGAGATCATATCTAACAGGAGATTCACTACCAATGTCTTTCGACTTCAAATTCGATTTTGTCAAAACCTCTGAAAACAATATGGAATCGCACAAGAATATCGAAGATAATGGAGACTTCAATTCATTGAGCTCGTCGTCACTTGTGTATGACTTCCTAACAACAGAAGATTTGTTTCTTCTTAGCTGAGATTTGCTTCCAATCTCTCCTAGAATGCTTGCGACGGAAGTTACATTCGGAGGTGAATAGGAAATCGGAGCTGCGCTACATGTGAAGTTGTTATCTAACTCCTTTCCATGTTCCATATCATTCTGTTTCATGCCAACACAAAACTTTGAGACCACATATTAATTTAGACGGAGTCATTAGCCATACCTTATATTATATGATATTATATCATCCATTGATTTATGTGGTTAACTTCTGACACATTGATATCAGTAATAATTTAGAAAAATGAAAATATTCAACTGTAATCACATATGATTGTGTCGTATCTACTTTTGACGCAGAATGTGCCGATAATCTGAAATTTTAATGCTACTTAGACCTATATGTTAGAAAAAATCAAATGAAAATTAAATATCTACCTCTAAGTCTAGAGCTTCAAGAACATGTATAGGCACCGGATCAGGGCAAAACTCATCTGGAAAGAAATTATGAAGAATCTTCTTGATAAGTGGTGCACTAAACATGGGGCATACCTTCACAAACAAGAAACTTAGGTTAAGTTTAACAACTAAAGCATGATTTTAAATTGCAGCCTGCAACCACAATGGCCTGCAACATTGCTGATTTTGAAGCCTCTACAACAGCAGCATCGCAACCACAATTTCGACCGCGTTTCGTTGCATTTAAAGATTCACAACATAACTGCGGCCATAACCGCAATTTTAAAACTACAAAGTAGTGTAAGAAAAGTTCAACAATATCATTGACATATATACCTCATTTCTAATGGATGCACTTAATAGCATATCTTTAGGAAGCATTAGAAGGTCACTTAGTGAATTAAGAAGGGTGAAAGAATCATGCTTCTGCTCATTGTTATTAGAACCATCTTTATTTTCAATTGAGTCATCTTCATTCATGCCATATAGATCACTCAACCATCTAGACCAGTTCCCAATCTGAAAATAAAAATTGATCACAAAAATTAATTTAAGTCATGTTTGAATAAATGTCTTAATTATGCGCTATTATCAGCACCTGTCATTTTAGGTTTAACTCATTCTTATAAAATCGGCTTATATGTATGAATTGAAATCAGATTCATTCATGCGGATAAAAAGTTATTGAGAAATGTACCACAGTTTTCAGCTGAGCACCAGCTCCAAAGCTTGATTTTCCTGGTGGAATAGGAAGAACCTTAGGATCACTTATAGCATCAGAGACAGGATCAGTTGGGGTTTCATCACCCGACTCGCGCAAAATAGCATTGAACATAGCCACATCTAATCTTGAGACACATTGCTCCATTATCTAGATGGAAAAAAGAGTTTCCATTAACTAAAGTAATGAACTTATAAACAATATGAATTAATATAGGTAGTGACTTGTGGAACAAACAATCATATAAAACTAACCAATTTTGGAATCATTGGTAAACAGCCACACTCGTGTCCTCCAGCTCGAATAGGACAGAGCCTTTCAAATGTTTCCTTAAAAGCATTCTTCCAAATATCTAGTGACAAGTTACTCTTATCTTGATCACATGAACTACATATCGTTCGAAAGCTTTTCCTTGATGCAGAAGCTACTTCTTTGTCGGTTATATTTGTATCAACATGTTGCATATGTGGAGTTAGAGTCTGTATATAGACAAAGAATGATAAATTCATGTTAGGTGCCAAACGTATGTCTCATGTCTGACACGTGTCAATATCGTGTCAGATGTTCATGTCAGGATTTCATACTACGGAGAGCTTGAGATATGTTCATAAATTGTTTTCAGTTTATTTTCACAAATTCTGTAAGATAGCTTATAGTCTAAACGTTGGGCCGGACCCGGATAAGAGTAAGGCATTACCTGCCACCATATAGATTCTACTATGCGAGAGAAGATCCAAGCTTCAACTTCTTCCAATGCTGAAATGAATACATGAGGATCATCCCAATTACCAAAACATTCATACCCTAATGCTTCTTTACTTTCACTTTTTCCTCCTCTCCACCTTTGTGAGGAGGATGCTATCTTTCCATTTCCATTTCCCTCCGATTTTCTTCTCCTGTCGGAACCACCGTGATTTGATGAAACTAAATCCTTCAAGTTTCGGCTTATAATTATTCTCAACACTATAGTATTCGACAACCAAAATGTCAACCTATAACCAGACAAATGCGTTTTTAGAAACAACGAAAAGGTTAAATCTGTCTTCGAAAACTATAAAAGGAAATCGTAAGGGAAAAATTCGATCTATATTATGTTATGCTTCTCGATAAGTTAAAGTAAGAAAATGACTTAAATGTACCTTGGAACATCATTTCCACATGCCTTTGAAACAAGTACTAATCCTGAAACAGAACTTTTAGCTGCACTATACTTTCTTCCTTGAAGCTTTTCTCTACAAGCATGAAGATAAAGCCTCGAAAGACGCCGAGCCGGGGTGTGAACCTTACTCATGGAGTTTCCATGCTCAGCAACAACTGAATATAAAGAAGCTTCAATAGCCGCGGCTTCTCTTAACTCTCCTTCAAGATTATTTACCTTCTTTTTCAAGTAATCGATTTTACCTTCTAAATTACCATTTTTCGCTTCCTTTGGATTAATCTTAGCATCTCTTTTGCTACTTATTCTTTGAACATCTTCAACTATATTTCTACAATGAGTAACCTTGTCATGAAAATTCTCATCGAACTTTTCATGATCGTTGCTTCTTGTTCCGATCCTTGAATTTTTGTCTAAACTTTCACAAACTAAAGATGGTAAAGACACACCTTTTTCGCTCGACAATGATGCATCCGTTGACGACGGCATGTGAGATGGACTTTCCATCTTCTTGTATGCATCCTGTTGCACCAAATTAGTCTTTCGGATTGGTCCATTCGATTCATTCTGAAGTTGAAAGGAAGTAGAAGCTCCCGCAACAGAAGAACGTGAAGAAACATCATCATCATCAGTAAAATAAGCAATCTCAGCTTCCTCGGCATATTCTTCATTCATCAATGTTGATACAGAATCGCAACCGTTGCTATTATTCTCCAAAACCTCGTTTGAAAATCTTTCCTGCAACGAAGACGAACGAGCGCGGATCTTTTCAGCCGGCTGAATCTTAATCAACAAAACCGGTTGATCATTATTTCTGTAACTCCTCTTGCAGTTCATAGAAGTACTAATGCTTAATCCCTCTTTAACTACTCCATAATCTGCCAAATCGATAACAGCATTTCCCAATAATTGACCCTTAACAATCTTATCATCTTTTCTAGGCTCATACAAGTTGAATTCCAAGAAATTCTTCTGGAAAACATCAAAATCACCACCTCTAATGGATACATCCCTCAACAATGTCACCGAAATTCTGAACGATTCCTTGAATTCAATTCTTCCTTCGCCTATAACCGAACCAAGTGAAGGTGATACTAGTTTAGTAGAACCTAATGTGTTGGAACCATTCTTCATTTCGATTAAAACCGAATGAAGAGATCTTAAAGATTGCGATGGAGGCCAAGGCTTAATCTCTTGAATATGAATCAGATAATCAACTTGAACTTTGCTAGTTCTCATGTTCCTTCCTCTCATTCCTAAAACCATAGCTTCCAAAATGATACTACTCACCACTCACCACCTTATTGGTTTTTTCTAGGATTTGAATTTGGTACAATAAATGTGGCACTCAAATTAACACCATTTAAAGCTAATATTATGAATCGGTTTCTCTGCGTATAAATGTAGAGCCTATAGAAACTAATTCTATGAAGCACAAAAGATTATAATATATGAAAGAAAAATTGTACTATAAAATTTAAATTACAACTTCCAAGACACATTAAGTGAGTGGAGTGAATACATATAATATAGCAATATCAAAAAGTAAAAGTGATTAAAAAAAGTTTGGTAGGTTTAGTTGGAGAAAAATATAATTGATTTCGTAAATTGTTTGGTGTTATGTTGATTGTGATGGCTAGCCATATCAAAATGACTTTCAAACTAACATCAATCATGAACATTTTGATGGGATAGTAAGAAATTTCAAATGAAGCCATTTTTCTTTACTAGCTAACAAAATATTCTTTTTTAACTAACAAAGTTATAGGTTAATTTATGAAAATATTTATTACTAGTATTTGTAAGATGAAGTTGAAGGAATATAAAACATTATTGGTGTTAGTTACTCTACCGAAGATGCAGATGCAACCGCGCGTGATGATTACGCTACTACAACATGCGTCGTTTCTACGTAACAATGCTTAATCACATGCATTCCTCTCATCTCATCTTTTAGTTTTAGTTTTACGAGAATTTTAACTATTTTATTTTTTTCGGTTTAAAATTTTTACACGTGAATTAAGAAATATAATAATATTCTTATAAGATATTCCACTTTTATTAAATTAATTTTATTAATGTGTTGAAAATAGTATACAAATTAATAATTAAATAACATAATTAAAAAAATAATTATTATTATTATTACATTGAAAAGAGAGAATGACATTTATTTTAAAACATTTTTTCTCTCTTTAAAACGACAATCATTTTAAAACGGAAGAAGTACTATTTTTCTTTTTTATAAGAACAATACAATTTTTTTCTTACAATATTTTATGAGATCATGTAATGACAAAAACAAAAAGATTGTCGTTGAGAAAATGAAACAAACAAATTAAACATTTCAAACATCATTGTTGTCCCGATGGCAGAGATGAAAGTAAAGGTATTTTTTATTTGGTGTCTCATAAGATGCTACACTTATGTAGTGACAAACGGAAAAATATCATACGGAATGCGATTGGGAATGATTGTGATTTATTTACGGTATTGGAAGAGCATTTGAGGGTGATTGAGCAATGGCTATGTGGAAGGTGTATGAACATTCATGCCATAAGTTGGACATGTCATCATCCTGATGGTCTTGTTCATGTCACTCATGGGATAGGAGGAGTCAGAAATCACATTGTGGATATTGTTAAACCATCCACAACTGACTCAGATAACTTCGAAGCAAACGAGGAGCTTGTTTTAGATACAAGGTTGTTAGAGAGAGTTCTTATCGCACATATCTTCATTGTGAAAAGTATATCTCTAAGTTGTTGTCTTGCTTTCTCTCAAACATTGAAATATGATGTTTACAAGGTGGTTGCTGATCTGGGATCAGTAGGTGTGTGGGTTCAATTGTTACTTCTCATTCGTTGTATATTACATGTGGTTAAGCCTCAGAATACACTACTATAAATAACGTTTCTAACGTCGGACTCGAAATACATTTTACCTCGGAGGTAGATGCGACGTAAATAAGGTCGTCATAATAAGTAAAGACTTATCACATCGGTCTTTAAAACACTGAGGTACAAGTTTATTAGTGCATGGGTTCGAACCCCAATAGCAGCAAATAATATTATTTTCAAAACTAGCATTTCTTTTATCTCGATTTATCAAATAACCGAGGGGTATGATTATTTATTTATTTTTTAAATTGTTATATTGTTTACTCAGAATATTACATTGTTTACACATAATATTACATTGTTTACCCAGAATATTTAAATTAAAATAAAAGCAAACTCCCTAGAGATCTAGACGAAAAATAAATTCCCTCAAGATGTAGATTTAGATCTTCGAATTATTGAATATTATCAACGGATCTTGCATGCGTTTGTTTCTGGTGAAAAAAAGGGTAACTGTTTACCCTGGAATTTGGTAAATAACCGCTGATCTTCTAAATCCCTTAACGAATTCAGTTACTTGTGAGATCGATCATATTGATCTCAGGACTATTGTGTTCTAGTATTTAGAAAAAGTGTTTTTCGTGATAAACTCTTTTAAATGAAAGGAAGCACTTCGTATGTCGAAGTGGAACTTCTTTATGAAAGTAATAAAGCAGAAACTAGTTTAAATTGGAAATTATAAAGAACATAAATAACATGAAGAAACTTCATTGCATATAAATGACATTGAATTGTAAAATATGGTGCATCATACGTACATTCTCGCTAACTCGTTTCTCTAACACTGATACTTTGAGTATATTTGAGTATTTTATACAAAGATATGAACACACTAAATTGAAACACAAAAGCTACAATTTATAGAATTTCGACCCTAACGGTCTCCTAACGAATTAATGTCACGTTTCCTGCTGACATGTCTTCGATGATCCTAAAGATTCCATGCGTACTTCTGGATAAGAATAAAGATTCGAATTCAAAAACCCTTCGATTATCCGTCTTAAGCGCCAAATCTGATAATGTTCGAAGTGTAACATTTTGAACCTTATCTCGAATAATACTTTAATTCGAATTCGAATTTCAAATGATACCTTATTTCGAATGATACTTTGCTCATAAACCATCCATCAATTTCGATTTCAAATCTTCTTGGTTTCCAAAAAATAAAATAACCAAACAACTCTCCAAGTATATTTAGTACCATTGTTTCAGCTCAATTTTGACTTAGTCGAAATTTCCAGCCAACAAATTGCCCCCAAGAAATATTCATTTTGAAACCAGAAATGCATATTTTTTTGCAATCTCCTCAAATTTCGACCTTCTGAACAATTCCTCAGCCGCTTCAACTTATTATGACGTCATTATCAAAATGACTTCTGATCCTCAAACGTCTAATCACCGTATGAGTATCTATAAATTTCATTATTAGCTATGATGAATAGTCTTAACTTTGGAACTCACAAAAACCGTTCATCAAGAAAAGGATCTCCTTACATGTGTCCCACTAAAATTTTAACTTCCTTCTTTCCATTAAAAACGATTCAATTTCCCTTCATATAAATTTAACACCATTCACTTTATTTCTCTTCTGCATTTTTCCAAATAAAAAGTCCTCTCTTCTTCTTCTAAAGTTCAACAATTTTCTGTAACTTTTTCTTCTTCAAAACACAATTAATGACGTCCCAGAAGAAATCAAAGTCTGGAAAGAGCAAACAACACACAAATGATGTTGCTTTCAATCCTTTACTCAAAGTAGCAACACCCATCATGATTGGAAATCAAGAATTTGTTCCTACACCATCTCTGAGGAATGAACAAATTTCCATCTATGCTTCCCAGGTAATAATTCCCTTCACTCTTGCTTCTGATACCTTAGGATATATGGGTCATATACTCAATGTATCAGATATATCAAAACTCAAGATATTTTCCCTGCTTACCACTTGACTAGACCCATATCTAGTAAACCTAGGGTTAGTAAGAAATTTGTTGAAAACACTAAGATAGAAGACGCAACACCTTCCCAGGAAAATACTCCTCAAAAGGGTGAAGAACAAAATAAATCCTCCTTTAAGCTAGACTTCGTTACAAAAGTTCTGAGACCCTTTAGATCAGGTCCATCGAAAGAGGATAAGAAGTACCTTGGATGGTTAGCTAGGGTAGAGAAAGTGAAATCAAACACATGGAAAAACCTGGGAATCTTATACTTGATTCATCTGTCGAAGTTTGGTCCTGAATACTGTCAGCTAATGTTAACAGCTTCGCTGTACTTCTGGGATAGTACTTATAACACTTTTAACCTACCCTGTGGAATGTTAACCCTAACACTCTTTGATGTTGCTACAATCACGGGCCTTCGACCCACAGGATAAACCTTCGATCCCACCTTGGACGCTGATGACTCTATTGACTTCAGCAATGCTTCTCCCACTTACAACAATTATATTGATCACTACTTGGGATCAACAGACAAAGTTAGTGATCAGAAACATATAACTTTTCTTGCTTTATGGCTTTCTAGATGTATCTTCTACTGTAAATCTTTGCAAGTTGCCAGAAGATTTTTAACCCTTGCTAACCAACTCCGTGTTGATCGAAATTTTTGCTTGAGCGAACTAATTCTTGCTGGATGTGATACGGTGGGAGAACTGACTAGAGGTTTGCGTTTGTATTCGCACTTGTTCGGTTTAACAAGAGTCGCCACCGACTTTTTATTTTATCCTAAAGGAAAGGTTAAAAAGCACAGGAAAAACCTTTGAGATGTTTTCGTGGGTTCGGGGGTAGATTATGAAAAGGGAAGGTGCTAGCACCCTTTTCATCCATGGTTATCCATGGGCTCTTAGTTACTTGTTTTAGATCACTTGCCTTGATTTTCAATTGCTTGAAATGGTGCTTTGTGTGTGTGGTTTTTGAAAATGTTTTGAAAAAGATGCCTTGTCTAGGCAACCGTTGTAACAATTCTTTACTCGAATGTTTTACAAAGGTGTTTGTCTTTTTGAAAAGATGTTTCAATGTTTTTGAAAGTTGTTTTGAAAGTTGTGTTGTGGAGTGTGTTTTGAAAGTAGGCAAGTGTTTTTTTTGCAAGTTTGATCAAGTAACTAAGAGTTGTCTACCCTATTGTACTCAAAGATCTTTCTCATGTTTTAACCCTTTTAACAGTGTTGTTTCACCATTGTATTTGGTGAACAACCTTGTGTTAGGATGTTAACGGGACGGGAGCGGGTCATCATTTAGACCATGAAAGCAATAGTGTCAAGTGTCTTTGGCAATTTGCTTGAGGGACTATGATCATTTTGTTTAGGCAACTTCGAAAGCGTCATCGAGGGACTATGATCATTTGATTTGTCTTTTGTTTTGCCAAAGTAC